CGAAAATTTATGGCGCAAAACGCGAGCGAATTAACGAGCAATTTATTCCGCTTTATCGCCAAACGAATCTGATCGAATCGAGTCCTCGCTCGAGTTTCGACCAATCTGGCTGGTTTCAACTCCTTTCAATTAAAGAGAATTAAAGAGAATTAAAGAGAACCGGGATCGTCTGAATACCGAGTAAATACTAGAGTTACCTGTAATTAACCTTTCGAAGGAAGTTCGTGTGTGGTGTAATATCGAGATATCGATTAATCGTGAGGTAGTAAGAGGGGTGTGTGTGGTGTACGATATTCGACAAGCCAAATAAAAGGGTACATTCGGAGTAATACAGCTCGTAAAAAGGAACGCATAACGTCCAAATGAAAACGTCGAACACGTAAAAGACACGAAGAATTCTGCAACAGCGAATTTAAAGATAAGGGATGCAAGAACGTGTTTTTACAACAGCCTCCCGTGGGTACTCGGGAACGTCTGATCAAGTGTGTCTCGGGGTGTGTAGCTTAGGGTCGTTGCGCGAGGGTGTACGCCGGAAATCGAAGCGACAACTTTCGAAACCGGAGAATCGGTGATACTGGCGCGATTTTATTAAAACGGGCCGCCATCGCGATTTCCCGGTCGACATCCACATCGCGAAACTTTTCCTCTAGTTTTAAAATCTCTCGAACAGTATGCCTTTCCAAATTCCATCGGAGCATTTACCTTCCCACCTCCTCACCCCCTCGCGTGCTTCACCAAACGGACAGAATCATTTCGAGTGCATCCCGATAGATTCTACCCGAACACGAAAAGGAACTCCCCGAAGCTCGTCGTGCTTAAGATCGTCTGCACGCGATAAAAACGTAAAAACCGCTGTCCTTGCTTTTAAAGGCCCGGATCCCATCCGCTTCATTTCCCAGGATGCAGTTGCACCGACGGGAGAACACGTGTACCGTTCCAGATTTACTACGTACCGCGTCATTACGGCCTCGCCACACGAAGCTCCGCGTTTTTCTACCCCGTACGACTCAACTTTGACAATTTCATTCCGCCGCGCGATTCGGCTTTGTCGCGAACAGGATATGCGGGAAATGACAGCGAACGCGGCACTAACGAATACGTTTTGCGCCAAGTTTTACGAGTTTACGGAAACGTGGTATAGAGACGAAAGTTCTTTCTAGTTGCAATCTCCGTGACGTTTAACACAGAGTTATCAACTTTCACAGGGATAAACGAAGCGCATTTACGATAGATCTAACGGGGGTGTAATTTTAGAGACACGTATACTCTCGTTGGAACTATCGGTAAAATTGATATCGCGAAATATCGCGTTGTCATTGAAACTATAGATCCGCGACGAGTACTCGATAATATAGAGGAGGATAATTAAAATAATACGATAGGTGTAAATTTCTATGTGTAATTATAATGAGCACGGGCGATATAGACCTCTCCTAAAATCAATTTTGCTAATTTTTACCCCGTTTTTGAAATCTCCACGTTTATTTTACGCAGTTCGAATTATTATTTACGTTTAACACGTTTACTGCCATGGTGGTCATCAGTGACCGATGCTTGTCTCCTCAGTGGGCCTATGGTGGTTACCAATGTCCGACAATACTAATTTTTTAAATTTATGTTTGTCTTATTTCAAGCATTCTTCGAAAATTTGAACAACGTAAACGAATATAACAAATTAATGATTTGCATCATTTTATTTTCCGATATTGTTTGAAAATTCCTCGTAATTGTATCGTAAATAGCGTACGAATAATGGAACTTTGATCGTGGCCCCCTGAGTGTACGATATAAAAATTTCGTGGCAGACTAAGGGTCAAACGCCGACGAGACGCTAATCTCGTTGGATGATAGAAGAAACCGCGTTGGAAACAACGAAAGATCAACTATCAGTAGAATAGGTCAGCCATAAGTCGGAGCCGGCGCGTCAGCGAAAAGGCCGGCAGCAAAAATGAAAAGTAAGTACCATCGCGATAACCGTGGACCCTCGAGCAGAAAGGACGTTGAAGTTAGAGTACCGTGTAACCCCGAAATGCCATAAATCTTCCTCGCCGGCAATCAGTCGGACACCTCGCTTCTGTTCATCGCGATCCTAGCCAATTCCGGTACCGTGCGATGCAAACATCGCGTACCTCGTTCGGATTCATTAACTCCGACCATGAGGAGTTCCATTGGGCCGTGGATCATGGGAACAGAGGATACCGAGAAGAAGGGTAGACGAAAAGAGAAACGCGAAGAAACGGGAGAAAGGGAGTAGTTATTCGTGGCACGAAAAATGAAAGGGTCTCAATTATCCCTCGTGCCACGGTTGTACGTCGCGAACCTTCGTGCACGACATGCAGGAGCATGATTATAATCCGCTGGCTTCTGGCCAGAATCGCATACAAAGCGCACCCTTCCGCACCCCTGTCCCCGGTTGCCCTAAGTGTCCGTACGATACGGGGCGTTTCTTCGCATCGGGGAAAGATAATTAAACTAACAATGTCGGGATCTCACTTGCCTGCTGCTTCCTTCCTCCCTTCCCCCTCTCTACGCCGCCCTCTATTCCTCTCCATTTTTCCTCCCATTTTTTGCCTCGGATCTCATTTAACGACGACGAGAGATTCGTCTCGTGCTCGTCGAGGACCCGACTCTCGGGAATAAGCGAATTATCTCCTCTTCGGATACATACTCGCGTCTTTCCGCGAGTCGAGATACAGGTACACGCACGAGGATGAAAATTTAATCCCGTTCGTTCGTTTCGTCCACGCGATTATCGTTTCGACTCGCGGTCGTGTGTGTGAGTGTGTGTGTTTCGGCTTGTTTAGAGTAATTGGTAGCGATGGTTCGGTGTAGTTCAGTAGATGGCTGGTTCGATTTATCGTGAACAATTTGTACCGATTACCACGATCCATGGAAAGTAGGGAAGTATCGTACAATAATGTCCGCATTGAATTTACGAGTGGATATACTAAATATTCGAAGCTTCGAACCCGTGAATTTCGTAAATGAATTTGAATCGGTTAATTGGACTAATATTCCAGAAAATACGTATATTCATTCGTGTCTATCTCTCCGGTCGAAATTTTCGACAAAAATGTTATCGTTTCTCGATAAGTGTTGCCCTCGAATCAACGCGACAAATTTATCGTCTGCACGTTTCCAAAGAAATTGACAAATCGACGAATAATTTCCCGGCGCGTCCGAACGCAAAGCAGTTCGCTTGATCGATTGCCCGGAGCCATATCGGTATTACTAACCCGTCGAATATTCTACCGGCAATGGTAAAGTTCTACGTGTTCCCAAGCGATCGATCACGCGTGCAGTTCTCTACCGAACTCGTGGAGCTTCCTTGCGAACTCTAAGTGTGCTTCCCGTGGTGTATGTTCTTCGAGAAGCGAGCCATTCTCTGCACGCAGTGCCATCTATGTCGAGGGACGTTACCAGGCGTTTCTAGCCAGCTACTCCGATAAGCTTCTTATCGCGTGTCGGCTCTCACCTTTCCGCCAGATCCGTCGGTATCGGACCACTCTTGCTTAGGGGTGCTTCCCAGTCGCCGCTTCAACCCTCTGTTAGATGGCAGCACGGGCGTTTCACCGATAAAGAGGGTTGTTCCGGCGAGAAAATTTAAACGCGGCGCACTTCGATCATTCCGGAAAAATATACCCAGCGAATTTTCTTCGAATCTTTATCGCAAATTTCGCGTAGTTTATATTAATTTGCCATTTAAATATTTATTTTTATTTTCCTCTACCGATTTGCAATAAATACCCTATGCGACGAATGTCGGTCAATAAAACATCTGCGAATTCCCGGATCTTTTCTACGATTTCGTTTCCTAATTTTGCGATTCGACTGATTCAAATTACACCGAGAATCCAAGCTGTCCAAACGAGATTAACGAGGTACCTAGCTCTCGAAGGGTGGTTCGATTCTCGCGATCCATGGCAACAGCAACGACGAGCCTAAGAAGGCGTGGAACGCAAGAGTAAAGAAAGGAAAGACAGGGGAAACGTTGCTCGAGTGGTGAGTCGCGCGTGCGAAGCAGGAAACTGAGATTCCCTGGGGAACCGTGCTTCAACACAGCGGCAAAACAGCAAGAAAATTCGAGACACGAAGGGACGACAGCCAAAGTGAGTGCACGCGGATATAAGTGGCACACGCAAATACGGCACGTGCTCTGGATGCCTTGGTACACCGATCGGACGGATCATCAACGATACAAGCAGCGTGGATAACGACACAGCGACACCTAAACGCAATTTTTCTCCTTATTTTTCTGCCATATGCGCCGCGATTTCGCGAACGATCGCGAGGAGAGGAACCTGGATGCCACGATCAGTATTCTAGCTTCCTCGAATACGTCATAATTCATTTTCGATCAATTCTGTCGTTAGAAAATAGAAAACATCTGTCAGTAGATATCTACTAATTATGAATCTACTGTATTTAATTGCATCCTCGTCAAAGAATAATAATAAATATTTTTTGATCCTAGATTCTAAGGTTTCTTTTGTTTTATCGACACAGTGCAGAGATCATCAATTTCCATTTCCATTTCAATACCAATTAAGAAACTTGGTGCACGAATTTCTAAAGCACGTGGAAAATTTATCCTAACCCAAGGGAAAACGTCGGGGCTCTGGAAAGCCATATTCTTCGAGTCCAACACCGAAACTCATTATCCTTCTCGCGAACGGTCTAAAGACTATAACCCAGGCTCGACACAGCAATTTTCGAGAAACTGAAACCGCTGCAATTATACTAGCGTCTTTGAAAAGATCCTCGAAGAGAAAGGAAAAGAAAAGAATGGAATAAAAAACGAGCATCCAGGTTTCTCCAACGCGCGGTGAAAGCATGATAAACGCAGAGAAATGTGAACGAGGGGCGTGAGCGAGCAATCCAAGGAGATGGCCAAGTGTGAAGACGAAGGGGTGGTGTGCGCGGTGGCGCGCGTGTACGTGCAGGAGATGGTGGCGGTGGATGCACGGCAAACCCTTTTGTTTGATCGGTAGCGTGCTTACCTGTCGGAATTGTCGAATGCCGCCATTGATCCGCAACGAGTCCGCGGCGATGCCGGCAATTCCGTCGCCTGGCTCGCGCAGCTGCCGCAAGGAGGCAGCACTCGGCGCTGTGGTGGTGTGCAGAGGGCAACAACATCCGGAACAGCAGCACGCGGACGCTTCCGGTTGCGAACTTTGTCGTATTATGCGTGCACTCGGCGACGTCGTGACCAGAACCGGAGGTGGCGGCGCTTGGCAGGGGCAACAGTGATGGCCGCTCTTCACGCTTTCTCTGTAACATAAGCGGATGGGTATTAACCCTTTGAACTCGTTGATCTTTTGGCTAAAGAATAGTAGGAAATCAAAGATTTTCTGCTACAAAGCTGACAATATCTTTTAGAGCAATAAATAAGAATTCGTATAATAATTAACACGTAGAATTATTTCATTTCGATAGCTCGCACACCGTTACATTATCTTAAATTTGACATATTAATGAGTATTAAAATTTGAAATTTTATCAAATGGCGACTGAAAGGCACATCTCGTGTGCAAAGGGTTAATGGCAGCCTGGATTAGCCTTTCATGGATCTGCGTTAATTTCGACTCGATATTCCCTTTAATTCGTTTCTCTTTTATTCTGGCAGAGAAAACGTCGACTTTTCTACTGTAATTTAATTTAGGGGAAATATTTCAACGCGTACGCGCTATTCGCAAAGTGTAAAGCTAGGATCGAGTCGTTAGGAGCGTTTTAGAGTAGGTTTTCGACTGCTGAGATAGAGCGTTGACTGCAACTTGGACTGCAGGGGGTTAAAAGGTTTATGAAATCGATTCAAGTCGTAAATGATGTAAGTCACAGTGTGAATGCCGATTAACCCCTATTCCGAACGGTCCGATGCTATTACTACCCTGGAAACCAACCACGCGACGAGATTCATCCTGTAAGGACATCTGTAAGTGGTTGTGTCTTGACCTAAGTTAGACGCTCCTCGACAGGCCTAGATTTATAGAGACCACTTAATGGTGAAAGCTCGGGAAAGCCTGACCAGCGTTCAACCACTCAGAGCCGTCAACAAGCTAGAGCCATTTCCCTGAGATCTGCCAAGCGTGATGTCATTAGGCTTGAACAGCGCGGTGCATGGCACGAAAATAGTCACTTTGACTAGAAACAGGGCCGAATATCAACTAACTCGAAGGCTTTGTTACACGTCGCAACTGTTTGCAGAGATTATACGGTGGAGCTTCCTTACGGTGATTAATTAATCACGCACGCTGCTGGGGATTCTATGACACCGGTACATCGAGTTTGTAAGTTTCTGATGGCCGCGAGTTTACCCTTGTCATGGGGGTACCCTCGTTATGGTTCGTGGGGAACGCGTAGTAGCGTTGACCTATTAGGTCAGCCCAGTTGTTTACGAACTAACATGGCCACGGTCACGAGTGTTTTCCGACAGAGTTATCCGTTAACCTTCGACGTGTAAACGAGCTTGTCGAAACACCTCGGCGAAGAAGAAGAAGCACTACAACGCTATTAAAATCACTCACGAGAGAAGTACGAGGCTGAACCGATCGAAATCCGATTTCTTTGGAAACTTCTTACCAGGAAGTTTCCCTTAATCCCTGGTCATGAGTGAACGCGTTAACGGGAAGGTCGAACTAACCTAAACCAAAGTCTAATTCTCTTCCCACCCAGACTTCGTTACGTTTTAATTCCAAAATCTCTGAACCTACTGCCTAATACCTGCGATAAATCCCATAGAAATTTGACCTCTGCGAATCGAAACTGCCAAGACACGCAGTGCTCTAACGCGAATCTAAAATTCTCTGTGGCACGGATATAATCGGGTATTCCGTTACCAGGCGTCGAATTGTTCATTCCAATTAGACTCACGGTAATCTGTTCTCGTTACAAGCCGGAGATCGGTTTCGTTAGTCGGCGAATTCAATTAGAACGTTACAGAGCAACCATTCCAGGAACGTTATAATGTTATCGCGAACACGTCGATCGTCGGAATGCGGGACATTAATGAAATTGTATCTGATTAACAGGAGACGACAATGTCAATTTCGGTATTGGGAGTTAATTATCTTATGCAATTGGCAAACACGCGAATGTCAATGGAACTGCCTCTGACCACGCGTAGATATACGTGCGCATATATATTTATGTAATACATACAGGTATATACATATAAAATATACATGTGGGTGTAAACCCGAGCTGTTCCTGGTGACCTGGTATCGACACGGACCATCGACGCAATGCTACGTCGCACAGCGGGCACTTTTGGCCAAAAAGCTGGACGAAATTCAATTTTTCAAGTGTAAAACTGCGTTTTGCTACCGCACCGCAGTTGTTATATACATTTAAATGAATCGAACGCAGCGTGGAATTTTGAAATATGACACAAAATTACCGAGATATAGGTTATCGAAATTGACGAAATTGAGTTATTCTATGCCTTCGTATTTATAGCGTGTTCAATGTACCGGCACATTTTGTACCTAGGAAATTTTACGTTTTAATAGTTTTCCCATAAACTCTATTTGATATCTAGAAATATAAACCTTGCAATTCGACGATACAGAATAAATTTGAATTTATATGTGTTATTCTTGTTAAGACTAATCTAAGACTACGCGTTCGTTCTATTTACAACTACGCTCCTTCACCTCATGCCTTACCATTTAAGTTCCGAAGACCGTGCCATTATCAACAACACAGTTGGTCACATGTTGAGACACTACGTCCGCACGCGGCGAAGAATAACACGTAACTAAGACAGGAAAACGTTCGCGAATATTCACCAAGAGCCTGACCAATCCTGACGATGTTTACGTCAGATCCTACCTACAAAGTACGCCTCGCACTGGCGATACTCCTAATGGCCCGTTTCCCTTGCAACGATATTGTAAACGAAGCGATTAAATATTAAAATATACAGCAATATAATAAAATTAGTAAATTTTTTAAAAGGAGTTACAGGAAGTACAGGAATGAAAATTTGGAGAAAAAAGACCAATGACGACTTTCCATATTCAAAAAGTAGTAAAAGTAGTTAATATAAGTGCAGCGCGGAAATTTATATTCTGAACGCATAAATTAATATCGTTAAAATTTGCAAAAAGGGCGTAAATTATTATATTTATCGTCAATAACAAATTGTTTGCAACGTAAATTAATGATTAAAATGAAAAAATTAATAAATTATTGGCTATAACATGATTTTGATAACGCACTTGCGTTAAAATGTACAAATAATTTGCAAAAATGATTATGAATTATTACACTTATTGTTAATAACAAATTAATATTGTTACTAACAAATTGTATGCCATCTATATTTGTAATAAAATTGAAAAAATTTATAAATTATTGGGTATGAGGGCGGAAAATTATTCATTAATAAAATTGGTGAAGTTCGAAAATTTCTGATCGGAGTGGGGGGCTCAGCCGATCGGAGGCTATATAAAGGACGACGCGTCGCTGCTGGAGTCATTTGTCCGTTTGGCCTCGCGCGCGTAACATTAAAATTTTCGTGTGCGGGAACGGGAGTGGGGTCGAAGTGAGGTTGGGGTTGACCACCCCACCCACACCCCACTCCCTTAAACAATTTACTAATAATTTTTTTTATTTTCAGCTATTAATTATTTTTTTCTTTCAGATTTTAATTATTTTTTATTGCTTCATGTTTTAATTAAATTTTTTTATTTCAGATGTTATTTTTCATTTATAGTTATTTATATTTGAACATTCGAATATTTCGTATAATATTCGAATGTTTCGTCGTTGGGTTGATTATGTCTCATCGTTGGGTTGTTCATGTCTCATCGTTGGGTTGTTCGTTCCACTTGGTAGATCTTTGTGATTTATATCTTTGTGATTTTTGTGATTTATATTTCATTTTGTTTAAATTTACTAATCCGTTTCCTTTCAGGTTAATATATTTTTGTTACAGGTTTATAAGACACGCGGGATGCGTGCGTTTAGACCTAAGTAGTTATAAGTTGGTCTAAGATAGATGGCTAGACTAAGTTTCATGTGCGCGCTATCTGTTCAAAGGTAAGCCACCTAGCTTGGAGCGTATATATACATTTCCTTACCCTTCTCGTTACCAAATGGAACACAATTGTTCTCGCGATAGTCGCGACCTTTCTTAAGTACCGACTAGCCTACACACGTACTTGCCGTGTACTCGATAGCTCCACGCCTCGTAAGTCATCCTCACGACTCGTCTCCGACACTCATTTCTGCCACTGTCAATCTCGTCATGCATCGAGATCTCTGGTGGCTCTCGGGCTGGTGAGGCATCTGGAGTAATGCGAGGGTCCGTCGACCTTAGTCGTCCTGGGTGCCAATCCGTGCACACGACCGGGGGATGGGCCCTGCAGTCGGAATCATTGCAAGAGCGTGCCTGCCTGCCCCTCTAGCACTTGGTGGCTATGTGGTTATGTTTGCATAGAGCCGGGGTATGGAGCATGCGCGTGATTCCGACTGTTAGGCCTCGCATAGGACCCTCGGATTGCCTCTGGGTGTTTCACTGGTTCGTTAGTTGCCTCAGGTCATCGAGTAAGCCATGGCGAGGTCGGCGGTGGCAGGGTGGGCAAGGCCCAATCGGGAGGGTGCTGCGGTTGGAGTTGTCTTGTACACGGGAGTACGTCGCGTAGGCTAGTCGGTCTTTCGAATAATCGCGAACCGAAACCCCGTTTGTAAGACACGAAATATAATAAAGTGTCAGTAGATTCGCTTTAATTTAATTCGCTCCAAGTTAGATTAGGCTACCTTTGATACAGGTAGCACCAGTAGGCTGCGCCACTAGGGCGCATGTCGGGTCTCGATGCGCAGCCACCTCCACGTGGTGAGACCTGGTAATTGGTATCATTTTCCAAAGATTTATCTTTGGAAAATGATTCCAAGCTAAGAGCTACGCATACATTGATATATAAATTTGTAATCGGCATCCCACAAAATCCAGAGATTCCAATTTTTGTGCAGGTCAAAACGTGTCTTCATATTTTGGCCAGCTTGTCGACAAAAGTCTCAACTGTGTGTCGCAACCAGTAGGAATTCGAACCTGGTAATTATACTCGCAACGCGCGTAACTCGAACAATTACAACCAAATTGGGGTAAGATGAAATTTTAACGAGCTCGTAATGGCAAACGTTACGAGAGGGTCGTTCATTGGCGGAGTACAAAGGTTTGGTTGTTTCGGTGGATGCCGGGCCAGCCAATTTGCAAGTCGCAGTTGGCTGTAATATTTACCCAACTCCGTGTGCGGTAAATATTAGCT